AGTTATTTAACCCGGCTTGTGGGTTAATTTTGATCATTCGGCATTATTAATAATATTGAGTTAAATTCAGAGTATTTTCTCTGATTTTTGGGCGTTTTCTGTCGTTCTTTTCTTGCGAATCATCTGCTACAACAAGCCAATAGGATATTCAATATCCTACCCGGCGTCAGTTGGTATCAGAGCATCAACATCTTCTTAAGAGATAAATTCCATCAGTTATAATAGTTGGTGGACGTGGTCGTGGTCTCGAGGACAGGTTCTGATTGAGGAAGTCCCGCACCGTGATCGTAATATTCAGGATGTGACGATTGAAGATTTGCAGAGACAAGTTGCGAAGTTAACCCAACGTTTGGCGGAGTAGAAGTTCGGTAACATGATGTCGAAGGTCACGATTTCGATACCAGTTTCGAAAACCCCGTATCACCATCGTGCTCGAGTTTGGGAGCATCGTGGATGAGAGGATTGTCATGTGGATCTCGGTTTCAGAGTGGATCTGCCCGAGTTTTTTGGTACGTTGCACGCTGAAGGATTTATTGATTGGCTGAATGAAGTGGAGCGGATTTTTGAATATAAGGAGGTTCCAGACTGTGTTAAAGTGAAACTGGTCGCCATCAAACTCAAAGGTAGGGTATCTGCATGGTGGGAACAGTTGAAGCGTTCACGAGAGCGACAGGGGAAATCCAAAATTACTAACTGGGAGAAGATGAAGAAGAAGATGAAAGGGCACTTCCTCTCTTTTAGCTATACTCAAACCTTATTCCAGAGGCTTCATTCATTAAGGCAAGGTGCAAGATCAGTCAATGATTATACTGAAGAATTCTATCAGTTGGTGGCTCGGAATGATTTATCTAAGATAGAGGAGCAGATGGTAGCACGATATTTGGGGGGATTAAGGCAGCCCCTGCAGCGTATCAGCAAGCACTTGCAGTAGAGAAACAGCAGAGTAGGAGGCCAGTAGTCAGAGGTGAAGGAAGTCAGCCAGTTCACCCTCAAGAATCTCGTCCTGCTTATCAGCCACAGCGGGATAGTTCCAACTCAAGTATTAAGTCCTTTAGGTGTGGTGAACAGGGGCATAGGGCGACTGATTGCAGGAAGCCTGCTGGTCAGAAGAATAAAAATCTTCTGATTGAGGAGGATATGATAGAAGAGTTCAAGGAAGTTGTGGAACCCGTGTATGATGAGGGTGAAGATGAGGATGTGCTATATGAAGATGGTCAGAAGACCCTGGTCATTCAAAAGAGCCTGCTGACTCCCAAGGGCGACTCAGGGGATGATTGGTTGAGGACCAACGTTTTCCACACAACCTGCACAGTTGCTGATAAAGTCTGTAAGCTGATAATTGATAGTGGCAGTTGTGAGAATGTAGTGTCTGAGGAGGCTATCGAGAAACTGCAATTGAAGATGGATCGTCATCCCAAACCATTGGCTAAATAAAGGCAGTGAGGTAACGGTAGAAAAACGATGCTTAGTGTCTTTTTCGATTGGAAAAAAATATTTTGATAATGCTTGGTGTGATGTGGTATCAATGGACGCGTGTCATGTTTTGT